TTGTTTTATGGCATATCTATGGCATGAGCAAAGAACTCCATAAGAAATAATTCCATGAACTATTAGTTTTTCCTTTTAATAACCTATCCATGCTACTTGTAATTATGAAGAGTTTCATTTGCCTATGTCCTATTTTACTACCTTGATTATAAAAAAATCTATTTTGATAGGAATTTTCTTTCTATAGCATTCGTATATTACTTGGAATTATTTGAAATTCTTTGACCCGAAGGTTTTGTTGCCTTATGGCATCTATTGCACGGTTGGCTCAATAAGGATTCAACTTAGATCCCAAGATTAATTGTTTTAATGAAGGTGTTGGTGAAGGAGTGGTATGAATTGTCTTCTTTCTATAGCCACAATCCGGGTTCGATTAGGAACTTTTATCTGAATAATAAATGCTTCAATAGCCCTCGATATATACAAAAGCCTAACTTCACCAGTACACTTGTAAGTTCAAAAGTAGAATTGATTTCGTATAGTGTAATTGCAGTAATAGTAGTCGATATCAATTCAATATTATCATCGTAGGTTGTACCACTGGAACTAGGGATAATAATATGAAGAAAATTTTGAACTATATTTGACGAGTATGCTTCTTTTTAAAATAAAACATGTTCTGCTGCCCTTATTGCAATGATTAAATAATGGAAGGATCTGGGCCATCAATAGTAAACCCTCTCAGTAGTTTCACAAGTTTTATCTGTCATAACGCTGTAATATTGCATTTTTTTGTTTTCCTTTTATACCAATACTGAATCTAAACTCTTGGAAAAGGAAAGGTAAATAAACTAGGCACATACGCTTCAAAGGGATAGTAGAAATATATATAATTATAAATTCCAATATTATAACCTCTGTGAAATCTTTAGGACAAAATAATAAAGCCTCCGAGGTTGCGTTTCTTTCTTTAAAACGTTTAATAATGCTCAAGCTTTCGGGTATGGTGGCCCTTCTACAGGAGCAACGCAAAGGGCCACCCTGTAGAAGGGCCACCATACCCGAAAGCTTGAGCATTATTAAACGTTTTAAAGAAAGAAACGCAACCTCGGAGGCTTTATTATTTTGTCCTAAATAATCATAAATATATAATGTGCTTTTCGAACATTCCTCTTCGGCAAATTGCAAATAAGATACTTTATCGAGATTTACATTTTGAGTATCGGTCCGGTAAAATTGTGTTTATAAATAAAATCTTGACGAATAAGTAGAATTTTGCTAGATGCCGATATACATTTGTTATGAAAATCGCTTTTCAATTAGGCAAAAAAGCAAAAAATAAAAAAATATATCTTACAAATCGCATTTTTAGATTTAATAATTTCATACTATTGTCTGGGTGGTGGAATAAGACCTTTTTGCTTGGAAGCTTGACCAGTTTTATCTAATGAATAAAATTATTGTTAAGGTTTTTTTTATCCTGTTTAAAATTAGGACACATCTAATTTGTAATGTACTGATTGAATAATGAGAACAAATATTAGAGCCTAGTTCGGGATTCTGTTTAGCTACTGAGAAATCTCTTCACAACACATGCTGGCATGTGATTGGTTTTACATTGATAGCGGTACATCACACGCTGAGAAAAAATCAGAAATTGTAGTGAATTCTTCTCAGTTATACCCTGAAGGGCTATATTACGTGTCGCTCGGCTATCTCTCTCTCTCCTATTCCATCATGTGAGGGAGGTACTCTCCAAGACACTCTCGACAGAAAACAAGATAATTCTGTGAGATTTCCTCAACATGGCAATTGAACATGTTTGGGGACAAAGACCCATTTATAACCAAGGGCCTATCCGAATTCAGGATGTCTTGTAGCCCTTGATCTAAACCAATGAAGCCTGTATAGATTCCATTATGTATATTCATTCTTGTTATTATCATTATTTTCTTTAGTTTTCTCTGTCACCATAATATTTTATGAACGATGTAATAAAAGTTGATTCAATATCAATCTCTCTATCTTTCCCTCTCTCTCGCTCTCATGGGACTACTTCAGTATATCTTGTCAAAATGAATAGTCAATAGTATGCAAAGCTGTTGTATGACTGTACCAACCCCTCTCTGCGTGGCGGACGGGAGAAGCAGCACAAGTAAGGGACTGCCCTGTAGGGCGAAGTACGGTGTCGTGAACCCCGAGCCGCTACGGTAACTGTGAACAGGGAACTCTGAAATGTGGCTGACTAACGGGGCAATGCCCCCCCCCATTCCATGGAGCAACAAAATCAGAAATTGACGATTGGACAAGACACCCCCACCAGTATGACTGTAAATTGAATGCTGAGTTCGGTTCAAAACAGAAAGAAAATTATTGTTATTATTACACTTCCTTTTTGTTTTCAATTACAATAAGATCATTATATTGATCAACAACATATATCTTTAAGATCAGAAAAATTATGAATTCTAAGGAAATTTCTCTCCATAAATTAACCACGAAGTTCTAATTAAAAAAGTTTTCTCATTAAAAATGGATGCAAGTTTTCAAATAAAATGACAGAAATGATTTCCATAATCGAGTTGGAACATCGACCCTGTAATGTGGGGCTTTCTTTCAGACGACCATCGAAAATCCGATAGTTTCACCGTCTGCCCCGTAAATCGACGTTTTTCGGCTGCTCACATCTATCATTAAATTAGACTTCTTAAGTAGATACCTCGAGCTCACTCTTCTGCTGGAAAAACTGAAGAATTTACTCTCTTTTCTTTCCATTCTATCCCATGAAACTACCGAAATTTGTGTGATTTTCAGAAAGAATTTTATTTGGACGTTTTATTTTGGAATATTATTTCAACTACAGTGATATAGGAAGATACATATATAAATATTTCTATGCGCGCGTGAATGTTTGTAAACTATATTTAATAGGAATATATTCTGTGAATAATTATTCCAATAAAATATAGATTTATTTTATCAATATTTTAGAAATTATTTTCTTTCAATCTTATATCCTTGAACGAATTTTATTATAATTTTTAAGATTTGAAAATTATAAGACTGCTGATACTTTTTGACATTTGAAATGATATTTTTGAATTCAAATTAGTTGAAATTTAGCTTTAATATAAATTTGATGACCTGCAATTATATATATCTCTCTCAAGTTGCATACCCATCTCTCTCGACCTGCCCACTCTGTCGAAAAGAACTTTAGCAATCCATCGTTTGCGAAGTCATTCCCGCGGTGGGCGTCAACAATGAAAACCTTTTATATATATTTATATATATGATTAAGGTTTTCTATTTGGTTTATATAAATTCTACAAGACCGCAGTCAGTGTTCGCAGGAGATTAATAGAATCACCGAATGTCGTGATCGATTCGGATGAGAAAAGCGAAGACTAAAACGCGGCTGATTCCATACTCGCCTTTTCAGTGATACGCTAACCTATGCACGGTGGATTCTGTGGTCACTGGACATGCGTCGGACATGGAGGCTGTTGCGCTCTGCGCTACCTGGAGTATAGGAGCTTCATCTATGCACCCTTCCTGTAGTGAATCTGTATAAGACCGGTGGTCTTAATAAAGTTGTATGTGTGTGTATATATATATCAATTTTATATTTATTCCTTTATATATCCTTATTTAATCTTATTTATTCACTTATATGATCTTTATTTGTATTAAAGAAGTTTCAATCTCAATCTTTCTCTTTCTCTCAACCCTATTTTATTTTCAAGTCCTGACGTTTCGGCGACCCACTGATGGCTTTTCAAAATTGTAAAAACAATATTCCGTTAATAAACATAAAGCCAGCTTGTTAAAAGACTTGATATGTTTACAATTTGAATTAATCATAATAAAACCTATACAATTATGGTATTCTGTAGGTGATAACCTACAGAACTGAATTTTTAGACGAAGCCTGGATATACATGCTATGTCTACAAAGTAGCAGGTCTACAAGCATTCTTCGAGTTTGAGGATGAGCGATGATACTAACGACAACTCACTTATAAACAGAAGAGGACCTCTCAAACTAGTTAGAGTTTATCATGTCGATTTTTTTTACTAATTTATGATATTTTCTTATTTTTCTCAATTAATTTTCAACCACTTGCACATTGACCCACGTCTAGTATCCATTCATGCACAAAAAAAAAAACATAAGAAAGTTTCATATTTGATATCGCCGCGGTCATCTACTTATTTATTTATTATTCTTCTTCTTATTATTTTTTTTTTTGAAGGAAACAGGAGCAATTTTGTCTACACTTGGTTATCTCGTGTGTCTTCACTAAAAGTCACTGTGTTTAAAGATCTTTCAGAGTTATTGTCTGAATCTCGATATACATGCATCGATATACATAAAAGTATTTTTAAAGAGAAATAACGACTATTTCTAACTTTAAGGATGATGTATGAAAGGGTGAAAATATGAAGGGTAATGGCGAACGGAAAAATAAAAGTGTCCAGGGGCGGGAATCGAACCCACGACCTTCCGCTTACCGGGCAGATGCCATGTCCACTAGGCTACCCTGGACATATTTTTCCGTTCGTAAATATTATATAAAGTAATTTAAAACATAATATAACGCGGCTGATGATTGTAAAACGAAAATTGCAATTATACCGCGAATGTTTCTTCTAAACAAAAATCGAAATTTATTTTTAAAGAGAAATAACGACTATTTCTAACTTTAAGGATGAAGTATGAAAGGGTGAAAATATGAAGAGTAATGGCGAACGGAAAAATAAAAGTGTCCAGGGGCGGGAATCGAACCCACGACCTTCCGCTTACCGGGCAAATGCCATGTCCACTAGGCTACCCTGGACATATTTTTCCGTTCGTAAATATTATATAAAGTAATTTAAAACATAATATAACGCGGCTGATGATTGTAAAACGAAAATTGCAATTATACCGCGAATGTTTCTTCTAAACAAAAATCGAAATTTATTTTTAAAGAGAAATAACGACTATTTCTAACTTTAAGGATGAAGTATGAAAGGGTGAAAATATGAAGAGTAATGGCGAACGGAAAAATAAAAGTGTCCAGGGGCGGGAATCGAACCCACGACCTTCCGCTTACCGGGCAGATGCCATTTCCACTAGGCTACCCTGGACATATTTTTCCGTTCGTAAATATTATATAAAGTAATTTAAAACATAATATAACGCGGCTGATGATTGTAAAACGAAAATTGCAATTATACCGCGAATGTTTCTTCTAAACAAAAATCGAAATTTATTTTTAAAGAGAAATAACGACTATTTCTAACTTTAAGGATGAAGTATGAAAGGGTGAAAATATGAAGAGTAATGGCGAACGGAAAAATAAAAGTGTCCAGGGGCGGGAATCGAACCCACGACCTTCCGCTTACCGGGCAGATGCCATTTCCACTAGGCTGCCCTGGACATATTTTTCCGTTCGTAAATCTATATATATAAAAATGGATTTTTGTCCGTCCGTCCGTCCGTTCGTCAGTGATAATCTTCTACATCGCTCAACCAATCGTGATGAAACTTTGGGAAGATGTTTAGTATACTACCGGGATGGTTTCTGGCTAATTACTCTTTAGAAATAACCTTTCGCTACATTTTTATTTACAATAAAACGTAAATTCACTCGCAATCAGCGCCCCCTCGCGGAAGACGTATGGCCTAAAATAGCCTCGCATGAGCTTATTTGTATCGTCAAGCTTAGCCTATAGGTTAGGTACACAGCTTCGTACCCCCGCAACCTAGGTTCGAGGCTCAGCGTGGGTGTTTTTTTTTCATTTCTTTTATATTATTGTAGCAAATTATTAAAAATATTATTTTATTTAAAATGTAGGCTTTTTAAAATAAAAATTAACATAAACAATATTTTAATAATATTTGTAACAAACCTAGGTTAGAGGCTCAGCGTGGGTGTCTTTTTTTATTTTCGTTTCTTTTATATTATTGTAGCAAGGTCTGTTTTTACACCATTATTATATTTTGATTGGTTTATTTTAAATATGTTTGTTATGAAGGCTCTATGTAATACTATTTAGAGCACATTTTACATTTTAAACACCTTAGCCCCCCTCTTTCTAATATTGTAGCAAAGTATTGAAAGTATTATTTTATTTTAGATGTTTGCCATGAAACTTTGGGATGTTGTTTAGTATACTATCAGGACGATTTCTGGCGAATTATTTTAGAATAATATTTATAACAATAATTATAGCGAAATTGAGACATAGTGATTATATTCTGTGTTTGTGCATATGTAAATATTTTACAGAAAATGTGAGAATGTTCTATTAGAATATCTCGAAAACAAAAAACAATACATATAAACGAGTTCACTGACATTTATTAATGCAGTGATTGTAATCAATGATTACCGGAAGGATTAGCGGAAGGTCGTGGGTTCGATTCCCGCCCCTGGACACTTTTATTTTTCCGTTCGCCATTACTCTTCATATTTTCACCCTTTCATACTTCATCCTTAAAGTTAGAAATAGTCGTTATTTCTCTTTGAAAATAAATTTCGATTTTTGTTTAGAAGAAACATTCGCGGTATAATTGCAATTTTCGTTTTACAATCATCAGCCGCGTTATATTATGTTTTAAATTATTTTATATAATATTTACGAACGGAAAAAAAAATATGTCCAGGGTAGCCTAGTGGACATGGCATCTTCCCGGTAAGCGGAAGGTCGTGGGTTCGATTCCCGCCCCTGAACACTTTTATTTTTCCGTTCGCCATTACTCTTCATATTTTCACCCTTTCATACTTCATCCTTAAAGTTAGAAATAGTCGTTATTTCTCTTTAAAAATAAAATTCGATTTTTGTTTAGAAGAAACATTCGCGGTATAATTGCAATTTTCGTTTTACAATCATCAGCCGCGTTATATTATGTTTTAAATTACTTTATATAATATTTACGAACGGAAAAATATGTCCAGGGTAGCCTAGTGGACATGGCATCTGCCCGGTAAGCGGAAGGTCGTGGGTTCGATTCCCGCCCCTGGACACTTTTATTTTTCCGTTCGCCATTACTCTTCATATTTTCACCCTTTCATACTTCATCTTTAAAGTTAGAAATAGTCGTTATTTCTCTTTAAAAATAAATTTCGATTTTTGTTTAGAAGAAACATTCGCGGTATAATTGCAATTTTCGTTTTACAATCATCAGCCGCGTTATATTATGTTTTAAATTACTTTATATAATATTTACGAACGGAAAAATATGTCCAGGGTAGCCTAGTGGACATGGCATCTGCCCGGTAAGCGGAAGGTCGTGGGTTCGATTCCCGCCCCTGGACACTTTTATTTTTCCGTTCGCCATTACTCTTCATATTTTCACCCTTTCATACTTCATCCTTAAAGTTAGAAATAGTCTGTGGCGACTACACTTTGCTTCAACGCATGCGCGGGCGTTAACACTTCACTACGCATGCGCGTGGGACGTCATCAGAGACGCTGGGATTTAGCGGTAAACATGTAGGCTTACTCCAACGGTCGTTACTCCAACCGTTGTTTCTTTTCTCTCTATAATTTCTTGCTTTAAATAAATTAATTTTAATTATAATTTTATCAGCAGCCTTTCCACAAGCCACACCAACACAGCACATCAACAACCATCCTACAAATTGGTGAGCCGGACGTGATGCAAAAGTTATTTTAATCACACTTTTATATATATTTTTTATTTCATCCACGAAACTTTCAACAGCCCCAGAATGCAAGACGCAACTACGGAACATCCGGAAGGGCCAACATCCACGGCACCCTCCCAAATATCAAGATTGGCTTTCCGTGCACCACCATTCTGGCCCAACAACGTTGAACTGTGGATAAGCCAGCTAGAAGCCGCTTTCGGTCTAGCAGAGATCTCCCGCGACGAAACTAATTTCCAAACAACGGTAACGAGCCTAGACCAGCCAACCCTTACTTACGTCGCGGACATCGTAACGGCCCCCCCACCCTCTGGTAAATACGATGCGCTGAAGGCAGGCCTTCTCCAACGACTCGGTCAATCAAAGCAAACTAAAATCTTACAGGTTCTGGATGGGCGTCCCATGGGAGATCAGAAGCCATCAACAGTCCTTGCCGCGATGCAACATCAGGCAGGAAGAAATTTCTCCGATACAGCACTGAAAATGCTGTGGACTCGACGCCTACCTCAGGACATAAGGGCCGCTCTCGCAGCATCCTCTGAAACAAGTTTGAGTAAGCTGGCGGAAATGGCAGACAACATACACGAAGCCATACTGCCAACGGTCTCAGCAGTGGATCAACCAAGCACAGGTCATTGCGCGGAAGCCCACCAACAGCTGATGACGCAAATCCAAGACCTGCATACGCAAATCGAAGCTTTGAAGTCATCCATGGACACCCCACACAATCGCTATCCGAACGATAGATACCCACCCCACAACAAAAAGGGAAACGCAGGAACTTGCTGGTACCATATGAAGTTTGGAGCGCAAGCTAGGAAGTGCCTTCAACCATGCAACTTCAAGGTCCAGGGAAACGAATACGCCCGCCGTCAGTAGGAGCCACTGACGGCGCAGGCCTTACTCGCCGGCTCTTCATTACGGACCGACGCAGCGCCTATTTGTTTTTGGTCGACACCGGAGCCGAAGTCTCAGTGATTCCACCACCAGTAAAAAACGCTAGGCCCTCGCACAGGCAGCTTTTCGCAGCTAACGGATCTATCATCCACACTTACGGGGAACGACATCTTGAGCTTGACCTCGGTCTCGGACGTTTATTCCGTTGGCCTTTCATCATAGCCGACGTCGGCGTGTCCATCATCGGCGCAGACTTTCTCCGACATTACGGGCTGACAGTAGACCTGCGTAATCACCGGCTGAGCGACCCAGTATCTTCCCTTCACTCCATTGGACAAGTTTCCCCTTCCCCCGCTGTTAGCATTCACCTTACAATCGCCAATTCGCCTTACTCCAGAATACTCAGACAATTCCCAGAGCTCACTAGTCAGAATCTTGTAAAAAGCCCTCCCCGTCACTCAGTGACTCATCATATCTTCACAAAGGGCCCCCCGATTGCAGCAAAACCGCGACGACTCCCCACGGACAAACTCGCCGCGGCAAAGAAAGAATTCGCCTTCATGATGGAGAAAGGCATCTGTCGTCCATCCAAATCACCGTGGGCCAGCCCTCTCCACCTAGTACCCAAAAAAGACGGCTCGCTACGACCATGTGGAGACTACAGGAAACTGAATGCCGCTACCGTCCCCGACCGATATCCAGTCCCTAACATTATGGACTTTGCATCGCATCTGCATGGTAAGAAAATATTTTCTACTATCGATCTGGTTAGAGCGTACCACCATGTGCCCGTGGAAGCTAGAGATATCCCTAAGACTGCCGTTATTACGCCTTTCGGCCTTTTCGAGTTTCCCCGCATGTCCTTAGGCCTATGTAACGCAGCCCAAACCTTTCAAAGGCTCATCAACGAAGTACTCCAAGGTTTGGATTTTGTATATGCCTACATTGACGACGTGCTTATCGCATCCGATTCAGAAAATCAACATGTATCCCATCTTCAACAACTTTTTGGTCGCCTTCGAGACTACGGCCTGACGATCAACGAAACCAAATGCACCTTCGGCCAACCTTCAGTCAAATTCTTGGGGTTTATCATCACTAACGCTGGAATCTCGCCGGACCCTCAGCGAGTACAAGCAATTAAAGACATCCCAATCCCTGATACTGTCGGAAAACTTCGACGTTTTCTGGGTATGTTAAATTTCTATCGGCGCTGCCTCCCCAATGCCGCTAGTACTCAGGCACCACTCCACGCCATGGTCGAAGGGCGCAAGAACGCATCCTGCCAATGGACCACAACAGCACTCCAGGATTTCGACCAGTGCAAATTTCAACTAGCCAACGCTGCCCTCTTGCACCATCCTTTTCCAGAAGCGCCTCTCTGCCTTACGGTAGATGCCTCGGATTTTGCTGTGGGCGCCGCGCTTCACCAGCAAGTTGGCAACAATTTCCAACCAATAGCGTTTTTCTCAAGGAAACTAGACGCTGCACAAAGAAAATACAGCGCATACGACAGAGAACTCCTGGCGGTATACTTGGCTATCAAGCATTTCAGGCATTTTTTGGAAGGGCGACAATTTCCGGTCTATACGGACCACAAACCTCTCACATACGCCTTTCAACAAAATCTGGACAAGGCCTCACCGCGCCAATGTCGACACCTCGATTTCATCGGGCAATTCACAACCGACATCCGCCACATCGCGGGCTGTGAAAATGTACCTGCAGATTTCCTGCCACGCGTGGAACCCATCTCCCACCACCAACCTTATGACCCGAAATCCCTAGCCGAAGCGCAAGCAGTAGACCAGGAGCTACAAGCTCTCTTGACATCGGAAAACCGCAGCTCACTACAACTGGAAAAAGTACAAATCCCAGAAACGAACATTTCCCTGTACTGTGACGTTTCAACAGCAAAACCCAGACCTTTCGTACCCGCACCCTGTCGCCGCATAATTTTTTCTGCATACCACAACTTGTCTCACCCCGGAGAACGAGCTACTACAAGGATGGTCACAGCCCATTACGTCTGGCCGGCCGTCAAGAAGGATTGCGCACTTTGGACTCGCGCCTGCCACCGCTGCCAAGTCTCCAAAACCGCTAGACACACAAGAACGCCCCTTCAGTCGTTTAGTCCCCCAGACGGAAGGTTCAGTCATGTTCACATTGACCTGGTCGGACCATTACCACCGAGTGAAAACTATCGGTACATTTCCACCTGCGTCGACCGATTCACTAGGTGGCCCGAAGCCCTACCCATACAGGACATCACCGCCAAAACAGTAGCAAATGCCTTCCTATCGGTCTGGATATCTCGTTTTGGCGTGCCAGCAAAAGTGATTACAGACCAAGGCAGGCAGTTTGAATCAGCACTTTTCGGTGAGTTGACACGGCTTCTGGGAATCAACAGAATAAGGACATCACCCTACCACCCAGCAGCAAACGGCCTGGTAGAAAGATTCCACAGACAGCTGAAAGACTCCCTTCGCTGTTACGATTCCACGAGCTGGTCCTTGAAACTTCCCCTGGTGCTCCTAGGGATTCGTTCGTCGCTAAGGGAAGATCTCAACACCACAACCGCTGAGCTGGTCTATGGGAAGCCCCTACCCCTTCCAGGAACATTTTTCGAGGACCCCTCCCCTCTGCAAGCTCGCCTACCGAACCGTGGCTGGAGGACTTCAAGCGCGCCATGGCATCTCTGAAACCTGCACCAATCAAACCACATGGGAACCGCCACGTTTACGTGCCCAAGCCACTCGAGACATGTTCCCATGTCTATCTACGTCGGGACCTGATATTGCCACCGCTAGCTCCCCCATACGACGGTCCATATGAAGTCCTTTTCAGGAAACCCAAAATTTACAAACTGAAAATTAAAAAGAGATCCACGTGGGTGTCAATCGACCGCCTCAAGCCTGCTTTCACATCAGAAGGACCGATGTTTTCCCAAGACCCGAACTTAACAAACCAATAAGATTGCATAGGATCGCTGGGAAGATCCTACTGGAGGGGGAGTAGTGTGGCGACTACACTTTGCTTCAACGCATGCGCGGGCGTCAACACTTCACTACGCATGCGCGTGGGACGTCATCAGAGACGCTGGGATTTAGCGGTAAACATGTAGGCTTACTCCAACGGTCGTTACTCCAACCGTTGTTTCTTTTCTCTCTATAATTTCTTGCTTTAAATAAATTAATTTCAATTATAATTTTATCAGCAGCCTTTCCACAAGCCACACCAACACAGCACATCAACAACCATCCTACAAGTCGTTATTTCTCTTTAAAAATAAATTTCGATTTTTGTTTAGAAGAAACATTCGCGGTATAATTGCAATTTTCGTTTTACAATCATCAGCCGCGTTATATTATGTTTTAAATTACTTTATATAATATTTACGAACGGAAAAATATGTCCAGGGTAGCCTAGTGGACATGGCATCTGCCCGGTAAGCGGAAGGTCGTGGGTTCGATTCCCGCCCCTGGACACTTTTATTTTTCCGTTCGCCATTACTCTTCATATTTTCACCCTTTCATACTTCATCCTTAAAGTTAGAAATAGTCGTTATTTCTCTTTAAAAATAAAATTCGATTTTTGTTTAGAAGAAACATTCGCGGTATAATTGCAATTTTCGTTTTACAATCATCAACCGCGTTATATTATGTTTTAAATTACTTTATATAATATTTACGAACGGAAAAATATGTCCAGGGTAGCCTAGTGGACATGTCATCTGCCCGGTAAGCGGAAGGTCGTGGGTTCGATTCCCGCCCCTGGAAACTTTTATTTTTCCGTTCGCCATTACTCTTCATATTTTCACCCTTTCATACTTCATCCTTAAAGTTAGAAATAGTCGTTATTTCTTTTTAAAAATAAATTTCGATTCTTGTTTAGAAGAAACATTCGCGGTATAATTGCAATTTTCGTTTTACAATCATCAGCCGCGTTATATTATGTTTTAAATTACATAAAAGTATACAGCTTTCTTTAGCTCTTACTATGAACATACTTATAGTTTTCAAATGTAATTGTTTGCACATTGTAACATTGAATTAACCTAATAAATATACATTATAGCAATAGTCATATTTTAAACATATAATTATATTTTACTTGTAAAATTAGATTGAATGTACTCTTTTCATTCAACAAAATGGGACACTGTATATCCATGCATCTATCAATCTATTTGTTTGATTATCATATAAAAAGATTAGATATTAATGATAATTTAAGACTCGCGTATGTTAAATGCTTGAATTGTTGTATAACTAGTGTTGTATTGAGTGATAGTGATCTGATAGTGTCTTCTACTTTCTCCTCCCAACACCATTCAGGCCACTTCAATCAATCATTAGGGGGGGACCTACCTACCTAGTAATGATTCAAGAACCTTATATAATTAAAGAGGAGGTAATATTTCAAGGACCTTGTACAAAATATCAATTGATGAACAGTCCCAATATAAATACGGCAATAATTGTAAGAAATAGCAGCTTAAAAATTCAATTAAGTACAGAATTCACTAACTCATTTGCTACAACTATAACCATAAAAACAAAAAGTAAGAAAATATATCTTTCCAACATTTATATACATCCGAATTCAATGAAAAGTGAGCACGAGGAATTTATGAAGAAGTTAATTAATACAAATTTACATATACCGGTGATAATTTGCGGCGATTTCAATGCCAGAGCTCCGTTATGGTATGACATCAGGAAAAATTATAATGGACATAGACTGATCCCTATCATAGATGAAATAAACTTAATTATCCATATTAATAAAACTTTCACGTGTCGTGATGCAAGTGTGATTGATCTCACACTAACAAATAAACAAGCAATTGCGGCGATCAGAAATTGGAAGACACAGCAGATATCGCAAATTTCAGATCATGTAGCTATATCTTTTGAAATATATACAAACGAACAATTTAGTTCAGAAAAATATTATTCCACTTGGAAATTTAATGAGAAAAATGCGAACTGGTTAAGTTTTAGTCAGAGAATTAACAGTACTGAACAAGAAAAATTTGAAAACTTACTAGACATAGTGGATACACCAGAAATGATTGATCAAACGGTAAAAGAACTTACGAACATACTGATTGAGGCAGCACATAATTCACTTAAAGTAAATAATAATATGACAACAAAAAATAATATTAGTAATAAGTGGTGGAATACGAATTTACAGCTTCTAAAGGATCACTGTGTGTGTGTGTGTGTCATTATCTTAGAAACTGTTACTATAGAAACAAAAATTGCCCTAATCATATTAAACAATATTATAAAAGCATACGAAATAAGTATTTACGGGAAATAGAAAAAGCTAGGAAAGCATCATGGAGAATTTTTCTGGAGGAAAACAAATCGAACAACCCTTATGGAAACTTATATAAGGTGTACAAAAACATCAAAAGTGGATCTAAGCGGAAGAGAAATATGCAAATTTTGGAGGGTAATACTGATATGGAATGTTTTCAGAAGGGTGAGGAATTATTGAACAACTTATTTCCAGATGATAAATGTGAAGAAGATACAAACATCCATAAAAGTATAAGAAATTATAATTTAAAACTACTCAATAAAGAAAAACCGATGGTTATGATTACTGAAGTTAACGACTTGATTGACAAATTAAATCCAAAGAAATCTCCCGGAATAGACAACATCTCTAACAACATGATAAGGCACACTAAACAATTTATAGCTCCTATATTGGTGAAACTATTTCAAAAATGTTTAGACATACAATACTATCCTGCTGAATGGAAAAGAGCAGAGGCAATAATTTTTCCGAAACCTGGAAAAACAGATTTTAATAACTATAAAAATTATAGACCTTTATGTCTTAATTCCAACATTTCTAAAATATTTGAAAAAATAATTAATAACAGAATAATAAAATATTATGAAGATTTTAATTTACTAAGTGATCGACAACATGGCTTTAGAAGATCGAAATCTACTATTACTGCACTAACTAAAATAATAAAAATTGCGTTAGAACATAAAACAAGAGAATATGCAGCAATAATTGCAGTGGATATTAGTGCAGCGTTTGATAATGCATGGTGGCCGGCCCTGATGAAACGACTAGATGAAGATGGTGTGCAGGCTTCAATGATAAAACTTCTACAATCATACTTTGATAATAGAAGAATAAGATTTAGATATTCCTCAACTGAAATTAATAAGAAACTAAGTAAAGGATGTCCACAGGGAGGACCACTGTCTCCCACATTATGGAATATTCTTATTAATGAGATACTGAATAATAATCTGGATGATAATTGTGAAACAATAGGATATGCAGATGATATTACGTTAATATGTTGGAATAAAACTCATGAACAACTAAGAAAGACAATAGATAATGTTTAAAATACAATATAACGCGGCTGATGATTGTAAAACGTAAATTAAAATTATACCGCGAATGTTTCTTTTATATAAATCGAAATTTATTTTCAAAGAGAAATAGCGACATTTCTATCTTTGAGGATGAGGTATGGAAAGGTGAAACATGAAGAGTAATGGCGAACGGAAAAATAAAAAGTGTCCAGGGGCGGGAATCGAACCCACACCCTTCTGCTTACCGGGCAGGTGCCTTGTCCACTCGGCTACCCTGGACGTATTTTTCCGTTCGTAACTTATATTTTAAAGTAACATTTAAAATACAATATAACGCGGCTGATGATTGTAAAACGAAAATTAAAATTATACCGCGAATGTTTCTTTTATAAAAATCGAAATTTATTTTCAAAGAGAAATAGCGACGTTTCTATCTTTGAGGATGAGGTATGGAAAGGTGAAACATGAAGAGTAATGGCGAACGGAAAAATAAAAAGTGTCCAGGGGCGGGAATCGAACCCACACCCTTCTGCTTACCGGGCAGGTGCCTTGTCCACTCGGCTACCCTGGACGTATTTTTCCGTTCGTAACTTATATTTTAAATTAACATTTAAAATACAATATAACGCGGCTGATGATTGTAAAACGAAAATTAAAATTATACCGCGAATGTTTCTTTTATAATAATCGAAATTTATTTTCAAAGAGAAATAGCGACATTTCTATCTTTGAGGATGAGGTATGGAAAGGTGAAACATGAAGAGTAATGGCGAACGGAAAAATAAAAAGTGTCCAGGGGCGGGAAACGAACCCACACCCTTCTGCTTACCGGGCAGGTGCCTTGTCCACTCGGCTACCCTGGACGTATTTTTCCGTTCGTAACTTATATTTTAAAGTAACATTTAAAATACAATATAACGCGGCTGATAATTGTAAAACGAAAATTAAAATTATACCGCGAATGTTTCTTTTATAAAAATCGAAATTTATTTTCAAAGAGAAATAGCGACATTTCTATCTTTGAGGATGAGGTATGGAAAGATAGAAATGTCGCTATTTCTCTTTGAAAATAAATTTCGATTTTTATAAAAGAAACATTCGCGGTATAATTTTAATTTTCGTTTTACAATCATCAGCCGCGTTATATTGTATTTTAAATGTTACTTTAAATTTAAGTTACGAACGGAAAAATACGTCCAGGGTAGCCGAGTGGACAAGGCACCTGCCCGGTAAGCAGAAGGGTGTGGGTTCGATTCCCGCCCCTGGACACTTTTTATTTTTCCGTTCGCCATTACTCTTCATGTTTCACCTTTCCATACCTCATCCTCAAAGATAGACATGTCGCTATTTCTCTTTGAAAATAAATTTCGATTTTTATAAAATAAACATTCGCGGTATAATTTTAATAGATAATGTATTAAGAAAAATCAATGAGTGGTGTGAAAGTCGTAAATTAAAATTGTCAGATGAAAAAACAAAAATATTATATTTATATAAATGCAATAGCGATATAATAGTCTCAGGTAGCAAGTTAATTAAACCGGTTGAAGAACTTAAGATTCTAGGAGTGACTATTAAAAATCACCGAGTCAGAAGCAAACTGGACTTTACGCCTCACGTTAATGAAATGATCATAAAGGTAACTAGATCTAGTGGATACCTATTTGGCCTGACAAAGAAAGCATGGGGTCTAGACTTTAGACGAAGACTGATATTGTATAAGACATTATATCGAAGTACAATTACTTATGGTTATCCAATATGGTATCCATTCATAAACAAAAAGTCTAAAGACAAACTTAATTCTCTTCAATATAGTATATTAAAACATTGTATACAGGCCTACAGTACAACATCATCGGATTGTACGCATATACTTGCACAAGTCCCCAAACTTACTGAATATATTGAATCTAACATGTTGAAAACCGAAATAAATTACAACCGATTTGACTCTTCAAGTAGGAATATAATTTCTAATTACATAAGGGAAAAATTGCAGAAATACTATGAGAAGACTAATACCATTTTCAAGTCCTTCGTCACTGATTCCCAAATACCCAAATATGTCAAGCCAAATTTTTACAATGTCCAATTTTTTACTGGACACGGTAACTTTAGATCATATTTGTACAAAGTCAGAAAGACGGATTCGCCTAAATGCTCATGTGGTGCAGAAGAAGAAAATCCTGTACATATTTTAACGGACTGTCGACTTGTAGAGGACTTGAGAGTCAAAAATCAAATAAATATAAATTGTCTAAATCAAATAGTTAATAATAGATATATGTATATGTGATGATGAGTTGCTGTCGACTTATCTGTGATGAGATCCTGTCGACTCATGTAATGAAGATGAGAAGAATTCCAGTAGCTTTTGTTAATCCTGTCGACTACTGAAATAAGAGTTGAAGTCC